GGGGGGGCGACTTGGAGGGAAGGGAGCAGAGGTCCAGGGTCCTCCTGTCCAGCCTGTCTGGAGGAGACCAAAAGAAAACATTATTGAGTCACCTACTGAATGCCAGGTCCTCGCCCACCCGACCTGGAGGAAGCACCCCAGAGCCCTGGAGCACTACGGGGTTTCTGGCAAAGATATCCAAAGAAGGCAGAGGGTGAGACTCCCTAGGCCCCTTAGAATGGGGACAGAAACTTGCCTGTGCTGTCAGAGGCAGCTTAGGACCCAAGAGCCATCCTGGGCAGGCAGTGTCTTCTCTGGGCTGCCTGGCTCAGGGTCTGAGGTGCTGAGTAGTCAGGGCACTGAGCCAAGCTCACAGTGTCCTGGGAGCCTCAGCAGGTGACTGGGGTCCTTATGGGAAGCCAGCCACCAGGAGTTCCTGGGAGGCCTTGGACAAACATTTTTAAGAGCTGAGCAGTAAGCTGGCCGGCAAGGTAAGGAGCGGCTGGTCAGCATCCAGGAAGAGTGTGACTGCGGAGGCTGGAGCCCTAATTCTCACCCTCTTCCAAGGCTGAGAGCTGAGCAGAGGGTGGCAGGGGGCCCAAAGTCCAGCTGTCCTGCTGGGTCCAACGCTGTGCGAATTCACAGATGAACCTGTTCTTGTCAGTACAGCAAGACCCGAGGTGTGCAGGCCGGCTCATCACATGGCCATGTCATGCTCACATGCTTATTTGCGTCGCTCATCACTTCCCTGCCCTGTCCCACATTAACTGACTCCTGACCCTCTCTGTGCTTTAAGGGGGAGGGAAGAAGAGGAAGGGAAGAAAATCGATATTAATTGACCATCTGTCTTAGGTCAGTCAGTTTGGCTTTTATAACCCAGAAAGTAAGAACCTTTGTTCCATTTTGCAGGTGAGGAGACTGAGTCTCAGGAAGAAGGAAGTTAGGGGGCCCAACTCAGAGAGCAGACAGGCGGGTTCCCTAGGCTCCAGGGCGGGGCCTCTCGCACTCTGTGTATGGGCAAGTCACTGGGAGTGCCTGTGAAGCAGTAGATTCCACTTCATGGGTCTGGGCTGGGTCCCAAGGCCCTGCATTCCTGACAAGGTCCAGAGGGTGGTGAGTTGTGCTGGTTCTCAGACCACAGTCTGTGTGGCAAGACTCTGGCACACATCCCACCACCTGGGGACGGCTGCTGTGCTGGCCATGCTGCTGGGAAGGGTCCCCGAAGATGCCTGGGTTTGAGGCGTGCAGGTCTCTGGTTGAGACACCCCTCACCAAAAGCTCCTGTGTCCAGAACAGTGTGCCACACCAACCCGTCTCTTGTCCCCACGCCTGTCCCCATCTCAGCCCTCATCTCCCCCAGGTGTCCAGCCAGAGTGTCACTCAGAGGGTGCTGAGATTCTCGGTGTACCATGTGGACAGTCGGAGGAAGCATCAGCTCCTGGGTCAGGTGCTGTTCCCCCTGAAGAATGAAGCCCTGGGGGCCGACTGTGGGCGCATTCTCTGGAGAGACCTGGAGGCCGAGAGCCTGGAGGTAAAGATCGAGGTCACTAGACATATGCTGCTGTGTGTCAGATTGCTGTGGGCAGCCAGCAGGGGTGGCCCAGCACCCCTACTAGCACTGGGATGGAAGGGAGATGGAGGCACTCCTGGGCAGGGAGAGGCTGCCTGAGGCTGCATGTCAGATACCTAGAGTGACTTGGGAAATGTTTGGATTCCACATCCAGAGCAGACAGCTGTGAAAGGCGATACTCCCAATGGCGCACCAAGGCTTATATTTACCTGCCTCCCCCAGCCCCCAGGAAAGACCCCATGGCTCAGAATAGGCTTTGGAATCCCGCAGACCTGAGTGTGAAGCCTCAGCTCTGGTCCTTACCACTGTGTGGTCTTCAGTAGACCCCTGTTACTCTCCAGACCTTACTTCATCTATAAAACGGCAGGAGGTGGGCTTAAAGGAGGGAATGCAGGATGTCACTGGCTCCCTGGGCCTGACTGTTGGGAGGAGGAGGGCGGCACTTGGCTCTTCCAGAACCCGCCCCTGAGCCCCTGACATGGTGCCTCCCTCCATCTTTCCAGCCTCCTTCGGAGTTCGGGGACCTCCAGTTCTGCCTCAGCTACAATGACCGCCTGAGCCGCCTCACCGTGGTCGTGCTGCGAGCCCAGGGCCTGAAGCTCCAGGACCACAGGAGTTTTGCCAGTAAGTTTTCCTTCTGGGGTAGATCCTGCCCTGTGAGCTTGGGGCCTGGGGCTGGAATCCCACCCTCACCTTGACCATCCAGTTTCTACTTGCATACTGCCCATCACGGAGCACTCACTACTTCTCATCTGCCTCCTCCCTTTGTGGACATTGGTATGAGAAGCCAATTCCTTATGTTGAACTCAAAGCAACACCCCCTTGGCTTCCACCAAAACTCTTAAGACTCCTGAGACCAAGTCAACCCCTCCCTTTTCCAAAAGCAGGGTCTTGGCTCCTTGAACTGTGCTGTCTGCCTCTATTCCTGCCTTCTCTGAGGGGCTCCAGTTTCTCCAGGGTGAGGCCTCATACCTCCCTGCCCCTGGAGGTTCACTGAACATGGGCATGGCACTTTTCTGGAAGGAGAGGTACCCCAGCCAGGCACTCTGCTTCCTCTAGCCTTCCAGACCCAGGAGCTGGAGGAGTGGGCCCTGCACTGGCTCACCCCACACATCCCACCCTATATGGGTCTCTAGCCAGGTCTGCCACCCATGTGTCCTGGCATCTGAGAGATGGTGGTCTGCCACCTGTGTGTCTTTGCATCTGAGTGATGTTGTCTGCCACCTGTGTGACTTGGCATCTTAAGCAAGCTGGCATTCAACCTTCCACTGCTGATCCAAACCCCATCTGAATCCCACCCTCAAAACTTGGCTCTCTGAAGGAGAAGGTGTTTAAGCGGCCTCCGGGGGCCTGAGAACCCAGCACCCAACTGGGAGGGTTGAGTGTGTGGTGTTAGGCTCCTGTAAACAAGGGCCAGCCAAGCTGTGGGTGGTTCAGGAGGCAGAGAGGAAGGAAGAGGAAGGGAGCGGAGCGTTTCCTCCTCTGAGCTGAGGCCGTACACTAATCAACCCAGTGCCTCCGGTGCTGCCTTCTGGCCACCGGCTGTGAGTAATGGGGTCTTGGCGCCAGGGTGGACATGTGCCACCTCCCCCACCCCCCACCCCGCCCTCACCAGACCTCCCACAGGCCAGAGGCTGGGCCCCTGCCAGCACCTCTCAGCCCTCTGTATGCACTGCCCCTCAGGGGTGTTTGTTCAAGTGTCACTGATGAACCACAACAAGTTTGTCAAGTGCAAGAAGACGTCGGCCGTGCTGGGCTCTGCCAACCCCGTGTACAGTGAGACCTTCAGCTTCAAGGCTGACCCCAAGGAACTGGACACGGCCAGCCTGAGCCTGACTGTGCTGCAGAGCGCCCCCGGGGATGGGCCAGGAGAGGTTGCTGAGCACTCAGGTAGCGGATCCCGCAGAGCTGCTGGGTTTCTGTCCTGTACCCTGCCTGTGGAGACCAGCACTAGGGACGCTTGCCCCAGGGCACAGAGCTTGCCCACCGGAGCTGATTCACAGCAGCTGTCTTCCAGTGTGACCATGTGTGGCACCCTAGAGAGGGATGGCATCTGCTACCCCTCCTGTGGCAAATGACCAGAGGCAGGGAGCAGCGTGCCACCTGCCTGCGGCCAGGTGACCTGATGCCCTGGGTCACTGTGTGTCCTGTGTTGCCTCATGCCTCCTGGCAGGCCTGTATGTCCTGGGAGTCATCCCAGCCAGCTCTCCCCCACTGCCCCATACCCCATGTCCACTGCCACTATCTCTGGGCCAGAGCTTAAGACCCTCCTCCACTGCGACAGCTTGAGGTAAAGGTTTTGTCAAGTGTCCTCCTGAATGTGTAAGTGGGCTGATGGAAGAGGCTTCTTTCTGGAGCGGCCCTAGTCCCTCAGCTCTGATGCAAGGCAGGCCTAAGGTGGCCAGCAGGAGGGCAAGGGGCAGAGGGGGTGCCCCTAGGGCTGGCTCTTCCCCTGGACTTACCCCCTCCCCCAACCCTGCCATCGTCCAGCTCCAGGGCAAAGTCAGGATCTTTTCGGGGGCTGTCAGTTGACACTGAAAGAGGGAGGGGACTGGTTGCTTCCTTGGAAGGGAGGAGTAATGAGAGAGTCAGGGAGAGGGAGAGAGGGGGAGAGGGGGAG